CATGCTCTCCTCAAGCTCCGAGGAAGTCGGAGGCTGTAGGCTTTCCTTCGCGCAGGCGGTCTGGAGCGGGTCGGTTATGGAGGTTGTGAGATTTCAGGGTTAGCCCACTGCTGAGTTGTTCTGTTTTCAGAAGGTGCTGAGTTCCCCCATGTGGTCCTGGAGGGCCCCTTGGTGCCAGCAGGCACCGCCTCGGTCACACCTGTTCACCAGTGTGAATTGGTCCGACCTGATGGAAATCATCACGCCTTTGATCGTTTCAGATAAAAACCAGCAGCTGACAGAAGAGAATCAGAAGCTTCAGATGAAGTTCCTGGAACAGAAGCAGGAAGTAGAGGAGCTGAAGGAGCGGCTGAAGTTCTACGGCAGGGTGAGCAGCTCCACCAAGCTGGAGTTTTCACATGGTAAATAAGCCAGCCTAATGTTCCTATCTGTGTTCTTTAAAGGAGAAGGACTACAGCGCGGCTGAACTCACAGAGGCCCTGCTGCTGATTAAAGTCAGTAAAACATCCAGCATCACATTGCAGACACATGGCCTCCCATGAGGAAAATAACGTCCAGATCTTTTCTCAGAAGCGGAAGTCCCAGAAAAGCGGAGATCTGAGCTTCATGGCTGAGGTGGACGAGGACGGGAGATCCGTCAGAGAGCTGAGAGCCGCTCACGCTGAAACTATCCAAGAACTGGAGAAGACCAGAAACCTCCTAAACATGGAGAGCCGGATCAGTAAAGACTACAAGGTGGAGAAGATTCACGGCCACCAGGAAACAGATTCATCTTTTCTCACCTGCTGAAAAAGTTTGTCTGCTCTCTATCCTGCTGGTGTCCAGGCGGAGCTGGAAGCCGCTCTGAGGAAGATGAGCAGTGACAAAGCTGAGTTTGAGCAGACGCTGGCGCGTCAGGCTCAGCTGCTGGATGCCAGAGCTGCCAGGATCTCCAAGCTGGAAGGTATTTATCTAATCATCCACCTGGAGCCTGATGTACTTCTGTAGATAAACCCGGTCAGAAATATCTGAGAATTCCACATCTCATCAGGAATCACAGAGATCCTTAAAGTGCCCTAAAACCAGAGAGTGTTATCCCTGTTGCTAGGGGCGACGCAGATCCAATCAATGTGTTGATTTTGATAACGATGACAAAATTATTTCGTAGAAGCTAATTTTTTTCATGACGATAACGAAAACTGGGGAGCTAAGCATGGATCTTTGATGACAAAGCATGACTAGTC